GCGCTTTATTTGAGAATATCAGGCAATACTTCAATCAATGTAATTTTTCATGCATGAAATAAACTGAATAAAAAACAAAACATAAACTGTGCATACTTACATACATTTTTGTGGTTTTTTGAGCATATTTGCAAGCATATTTACTAATGTTTTAGTGCTTATCTAAGCCCTTCAAATAGGGTTTCTTGCTTATTTTCTTCGGCACTGATTATAGGTGTTCTTTGTCAGAAATATTAACATAAAATACATTAAAACCATTAATTTCGATTTTGTTGCTTGTATAGGCTGTGGTTGATCTAACTAGCGCTAGTGGAAGTGAATAGCACAGCACAGTTTCCTTCACTTTATGCACCAGTTAGATCAACCAAAGCCTGTACAAGCAACAAAATCAAAAGAAAATTGATCAGCACACAAAAGAATCATTAATTTCAATGTTTTTATACCCGAGCGCACTTCCCCACAAGAGTAAACCAAATGCTAAGAATGAGAAGAGAACGATTGAGCCATGTCTGTTAAACTATTAAACCAAAAATTTGTTTAGTGTAACCATTCCAGAAAAATGGCGAAAGCTCTTCTTTTAAACAAATTGTACTCTACCAAAGGAGGATGGTTCCGTGCGTAGAAGTGGAAAACTTTTGACTGCCGTTCAGCTGGGAGTGGCCAGAAGCGATTCTTGTGCGTACGGTTCAAATCGCAGTTCACATCGTCCGGATATTTATATCCACCTATCCTCTGGGCAGCAACCAAACATCCGTTTCGGAGCAAGCTAAAGCGAGAAGGTTTAAAAGTTCGCGTGCGCTGGGTTTGGGTCCCGCCACGTTAAAACCCCGCCCAATGAAAAAGTTCGTAAAGCCTCGGATGGGACCCCCTTTTTTTGTCGACGACCGCGGCAAACGTATAAAGGACTATGATTTGAGGGTATGCACCTGGAATACCCGGACCCTTAATGGGAAAGGTGCCTCTGCCCGGCTGGTTGATGTCCTCGGGAAGACAAAGGCTGGCATCACCGCCATCCAAGAAATACGATGGACGGGGCAAGGGATGGTAAGCGTGAAGCCTTGCGACATCTACTACAGTTGCCACGTAAAGGAGCGCAAATTCGGTGTTGGATTCGTGGTAGCAGAGAGACTCCGTCGCCCAGAATTGACGCTCACCCCGGTGGACGAACGTCTAGCCACAATCCTCATCAAAGCGAGATTCTTCAAAATGCCGCTCATCTGCGGCCATGCCCCAACGGAAGAGAAGGACGACGCGTCCAAGGATCTCTTCCATGAGCGCTTGGAGCGTACATACGAGCGCTGCCCCGACACGACATCGAAATCGTGCATGGCAATTTCAATACCAGGGTGGGGAAAGGAAGGGATCTTTGGAACCACTGTCGAAAATTTCAGCCCCCACGACGAAAAGTCCAACAACGGACTGAGGTTTATCGACTTCGCCGGGGCCCGAAACATGGTAGTATGCAGTACTAGGTTCAATCATAAAAACATCCATTAAGCTACGAGGCTATCTCCGGATTGAAAAATAAGAAACCAAATCGATCATGTTGTGATAAACGGAAGGCACGCTTACAGTGTTTTAGATGTATGTACGTAGACACTCCGAGGCCCAAACATCGACTCGGACCACTATCTTGTTGCGCCCAAAAATGCAAGGAAAACTCAACGTCGAAAAGCTGCAATCAAAACAGACAGATAATGCATTCGCTACTCGACTCAGAGAGCACTCGTCAACATTTCCAGATCATAAAGTACCACCGCCGAAGAAGTAGTTGGAAAGACGCCACCTGTAGGGCCACGCTGCGATCAGGCGCAACGCGAGCCATGTGGGACCGTTATAGGGAACTGAGGAAGGAAGGGAGACGTATTTTCCGCAATAAGAAGAGAGAGGCCGAAATACGTGAATGTGAAGAGCTTGAGATGCTGCCCGACAGGAAGAACGCACGAAAAATTCTACCAGAGGATTAGGCGACTTACGAAAGTTTTCAAGACCGGCGCGAACTCTTGCAAGAACAACAATGGCGACCTAGTGACCGACGCCCAGAATGTACTTAAATTGTGGAGCAGCTGCCCCCCAGCCTGACTATGACGATTGCGATTACGCGGCTGAAAAACAACAAAGCTGCTGGAGCTGACGGCCTGCCAGCCGAGCTATTCAAGTGCGGCGGCGAGGAGCTGATGAGGTGCATGCATCAGCTCATATGTAGAATATGGTCAGATGAACGCATGCCCGACGACTGGAATTTAAGTGTGCTCTGCCCAATCCACAAGAAAGGCGACCTCGCCATTCGCGCCAACTACCGCGGAAACAGCCTTCTAAGCATAGGTTATAAAGTCTTCTCGAGTGCGAAAGACTGAAGCCCACCGTCAACGAACTGATTGCACCGTTATCAGTAGGGAAGACAAAAATATGCACAAAAAACTTAATTATATGATCATTAAAGTGACTCCAAAATTCTAAAAATATGCTTAATATATGCCCCAAAAATGTATATGTATAACGAAATTTTTTTCGATTATCGCATGAAAAGTTTTTAACATACATATATGTATGTATTGAAAATATTGCAAATGCACGTTCTACGTCACAAGACTTTGTTGGACAGAATTTAAAAGATGACAATTCTCCAGGTGAAAATGTTGCAACATTTTATTGAAGTGTTGCCTCACACAAAATATTTTTGTTGCTGATATTGAGAAGTTACAAAAGTTACAATAGATGCAGAATAAAACTCGCTGCTCAGTTCGCAACACACCTGGAAACTGTTAAACAGCTTTCGCTAAAATCGAAAAGTTTTTATTGAATTTTTCAACCACCAAAACCGGTTTAGCGCGAAACTTGACTATCGGAAAACGACAGTCGAAAATTTTTTACGAGTATATTAAAATTGTTTACTAGAAAACAACGGGACTTCTCATTGTTTGTCAGCCTTCTTTTTGTCAATTAAACAAACCTCGTCACCAACATTGGCTATCTCCGCAAAGGTATTGTCAGATGAAATTATGCGAAAATTAGGTAACTTATTACCAAAAAAAAATCAATTTTATGCATTTTTATGCTTTTTCGCCAATATATGCATTTTGTGTCATAATATGCATTTGCATATACAATATGCATTTGCATATTTTTGTCTTCCCTAGTTATCAGACTGGCTTTAGGCCTGGCAAATCCACCATAGATCAGGTATTCACAATACGCCAAATCTTGGAAAAGACCCGTGAGAATAGGATCGACACACACCATCTATTTGTCGATTTCAAAGCCGCTTACGTCAGCACGAAGAGAAGTTGCCTTTATGCCGCGATGTCTGAATTTGGTATCCGTCCAGCTCCGTCAGAATAGGGAAGGACCTCTCCGAGCCGTTTGATACCAAACGAGGTTTCACACAAGGGGACTCCCTTTCGTGTGATTTCTCTAATCTGATGTTGGAGAAGATAATAATAGCCGCAGAACTGAATCGCTCAGGCACAGGACATTACAAGAGCGTAGAAATGCTGGCGTATGCCGACGACATCGATATTATCGGTAAAAACAAGGACTACGTCTATTCTGCCTTCTCGGGATTGGATAGAGGACAAAACGAAGTATATCCTGTCATCACACAAACAGTCAGAGCATACGCGTCTTGGCACCGACGTCACTGTTGACAGTTGCAAGTTTGAAAAAGTAGACGACTTCGTTTATTTGGGAACCAGCATTAACACCAGTAAAAATGTCAGCCTTGAAATCCACTCTTGCTAACAAGTGCTACTTTGGGCTGAGTAGGCAATTGAGAAGTACAGTCCTCTCTCGTCGTACAACGATCACACTCTATAAGTCACTCAACATGCCTGTGCTGGTGTATGGCGCGGAGGCATGGACAATGAAAGCATCTGATGAGGCGGCTCTTGGAGTTTTCGAGAGAAAGATTCTGCGAAAGACTTACGAACCTTTACGCGTTGGTGATGGCGAATATCGCATTCGATTTAACGATGAGCTGTATGAGCTTTACAACAATATGACATAGTGCAGCGAATTAAAATTCAACGGCTCCGCTGGCTTGGCCATGTCGTTCGAATGGACAGAAACGCTCCTGCTCTGAAAATATTAACCGCGGGCCGCGATGCTGGTAACAGAGGAAGAGGAAGGCTTCCTCTGCGTTGGAAAGACCAGGTGGAGCACAGAAGAGAAATGACTGGAGTGCTTTGTTGAACTCGGCCAAAATCGCGTAAGCCGTTACAGCGCCAAATAAGAAGAAGAGCGCACTGATTTACGGAATGGGAAAGATCCGAACTTGAGTAGAAAAATCAGTACTATCCTGATGAAATCAGTACGTCTGGCAACCCCATTCGGGAGGTACTACGCTCCATTTCTACATGGAAGTTTTTTAGCCTATAACATTGCTTGAAAAACCAGCATCAGATGTATAAAATTAAAAACAAAAAAATTTGTCAGCCGTTGTTCAGTTTATACATATGAAAATATTAGCAAACACAATTTTACTTGAAGAACATTGTGAATATTTACAAAAATCAGCTTGTGGTGGGTTGTGGTCTTATTATAGAATCTCGCTCTAATGCCTACCGTAAGGAAATACGTTTTTATTTTCATTCAGTCAGGCAGCCTTTAAAACATTACACTTCCGACGAATCTGCCAGTGCCTGGAAGCAAAGGAAGATTATGCACGATAGGAAAACCATTTATACAACGACTTAGATAGATCTCACAAGTGGAAATAATACCCTTGTAAAAGTGTGCAAACAAAGTGGTTTGTATTCGAGTGAACTCATGACACTGAAAGGGATTAGTAAATTCATATGGTGCTTTTGAGGCACCGCAAAGCTCGCCGGATATTTACTAGTTTTTGGTAAACAATAATAAAGTTTTGGTGCTTACTCTTTTGTTACGTGTTTCGCCGAGCTTCTCCTCGGCATTGATGTTGTTACACAAATGGAGGGACCTACAGTTTTACACCGCCTCCGAACAGAAAATGGATTTTATGCGAAGCAAAAAATACTTACCATAAATTCATCATCCGGATAGCGACTCTCGTAATACTTCAATTTGTCGGTTACTTTACGCAGTTGGTCCTCATGAGTGCGCTGTAATTCCTGAAGCTTTTGTTGATAGAAAGCCTTCAGCTCTGTGATTTCCACGGAACTCTATTTTGAATTAAAAAAATTAAAGTTAGAATGCAATCGCGACTCATATTTTAAAGATTGTAAATTCACATCTTCATTGGAGGTATCGGCAGGTATAATCTGACGGTGGCTAGGACTTAGCAAGAGTTCTGCGCGCTTTTTTTTCCGCGGTGAAGCCTCCTTTGAACGTTGAGTGGAAGTAGATGGTAGAACTACTTCCTCGGGCATTTGCTCCTGATCTGAGCCTTCAGATGAAGATGTGTCTCCGGTATAATGTTGCGATTTTTGTGAAAACACGTCATCTGAAAATCTGCAAAAGTCATATTGCTAGTATCACAGCACATGAAATTCAGTATTTATAAGCTAAAAACTTACTGTTTCTCCAATTCCGCACATTTCGACTCAAAATATTTACGCAACTCTTCTACTTCTTTGGCATGTTTCGAGTCCTGTTCCTCACGCGACGTTATTAACTTCTGCAATTCAACATCTTGTCGCTGTTTCACCGCTTCAAGCTGCTCAACCATCTCCTTTTGCTCTTGCTCACACTTCATTTTGCACTTTTCCAGTTCTTGGCTTAAATAATTATCGAATTTATTTTGTACCATAATGAATAGACGTACCTCATTGGAGTTGAGATATTTCTGAAACTGTTCAATTTGCTTGCTAAATTGCGTTTGTGACCACTCGGACGCTTCCATATCACCATACATTTCCGCCGTCTGGCGTGGTACTGAGAGTTGACGCTCGCGTGAATTGCGTGAATACTTATCCTCGTTGTCAGTGAAGGCATTACGCTCCAAATCATCATCGCTGTCGCTTATTAAATCCATTGATATCTCAGAAATTCGCTGGCCACAATTGCTATCCAGATCGCCACGAGGCAAGGTAGGTCGCCGAAGTGTGTCCAGTGCTTCTGACAGTTGTTTGCGAAGTATTTCAACCTCATTGGTAAGTTTATCACTATCTGTTTGCAGCTGCTCGCGAACATTCTTCGAATGCTGTAGAGAATCTGTCAGTTTTGCTATTAATTCATCGCGGTAGTTTAATTCCGTCCATATATCCATGGTCTACAAAGAAGTGTTTATTGTGTTATTGATGAGCTTGAAATTTTAATTCTTTACTTTTTAGTTACTACTTACCGGTCCACCAAATTCTTCCTGGAGCGTGCGATACTCTGTCGAGCTAGTCACCAACGAACTGTTTGTGTCTCTACCTGAGCCCAACTGCTCCACAGAATATGCGCCACTCGATTCGCGTCTCTGCGCTGTCTCTAATTGCAAATTTAACGCCGCCAGACAGGCATCCTTTTCAGCTACCACATACTTCAACTCGGATACTTTGCTTTCCAACATTTGCAGCATATTCAAACTGACTATACTACTCGAAGTAGTTGCCAAGTTTGCCGTTTGTACCTCCACTTCGGCACGCAAAGTTTTATTTTCATCTTTTTCAGCTGACGTTGTCATCGAACGTTCCATCGACAGCGAACGATGTTCTTCAGTCGTCGAAAGCGAGTTTCGTTCGCTCTCTTCAGTAATATCTTCGAGTATGTCTTTTGCGAACTCATTTAGGGGCACACGCTCCATTGGTTTAATGATCTGCACTGCCCCACTAACTCCCGCGTTTACTGGAGCTAATTCATTGAGATTGATTTGCTGATCCTTACTGTCATAATTCATGGCTAAAATCCGCAACTTCATATGTTTCAACCGCATGTCATCGTCATCTTCTTCAATGGCTTGGACGTCAAGCTCCGGTGAAACACTGGTAACCTGATTTTTACCACCAAGTAATTCTTTGAGGGCATCGCGCAAGGCAATTGCAGATGTTTCATTGTCTTCCACATGCTCAACGACGGCTTCTGAGGCATCCACTTCAACATCGGCCATTCCCTGTAGTTGTAGTGTTTCTGAGATTACTGCAAGTTTTGTTTCTACCAACTGTGATCCCTGTAATGGCACATTTTCGATGTTTTCCCTTTCGCGATACGAACGCATCAATTTTTTATTCGAGTTTTCAGTCTCTACTAAGTTGTCAGTTTTGCCTGCTGCTATATCACTTTTCTGTTGGTTAGCCTCTTCTATTGTTACAGCGCACCCCTTATGTGGCTTGGCCTCTGGTCCATTCGCATTTAAATCGGTAAGAATCCGCAAAGTATCAGGTATGTCTATTTTGAAACATTTTGGGCGTTCCTTAATGTCATTCATCTTTCTTAAATTGGCACTTGAATTGATTACCTTCTCATTATGTGAAACTTGTTCTTCTATGGTGTCTCCCAGAAGACGATTCACTAACGACTCATTATTCATAAGAAAGCTGTGGTTCAGAGAACTCAAGTCTCGATCATCCAATGTATATTCAGAGCTATGATTTCTCTCAACAATTTCCTCAATATCTTTTTCGCCGTGATCAGGTGAAGGACTTAGTGCTCGGTCATCAACTTCAACTTTTTCCGCAGTGTCGCTTACTTTCCCTTCTTTGGATTTACTCAACGACGTATTTGTCACATTTTCCTCATAATCACTGGATTGTTGCGTTAACTCTGTCGCTGGCGCAAGTAGGTCTTCACTCTTCAGAGAGTCCTCTTCCTGTCTCAGTTCTTCAGCCAGATCGGAAACATCATTTGCAGTGCTCTCGTTGCTTAAATTTCCCTCTTGTGTTTTGGCAGCAAGGTTTTCTATCAGAGGTTCATCGTGCCGTGAGTGTACTCTCTTTTCCAACGGCAAACTCACATCGAGGTCTCCAAAATCCACTTCTGCTGAATCTGTCATAGGTTCGCTGACCTGAACGCTACCACCACTAGATATTTCATGGCGCGAGTGTGCTCCAGTCTTGGTTAGCGGAGCGCTTACTTCAACATCGTCATCATCTTCCTCTCCTTCCAACACAAAGTGCTGAGCTAATTTCCCACCAGACAATTGATCTTCATCAATCTTGAATTGCTCGTCTTCTTCGCCAGAATTCTTTTTGTGCTCACTTTCTCTGGGCGAATTCCTTAGTAACTGCACCGAACTGACTTCTTTAGACATTTCTGTACCGAAGGGCTGGAGGGATTTTGTTTTTTCCTCTTTTCTTACAATTGTCTTTATATAGCCTGCTGCTTCAGTTAGCTCCGATGGACGTGCAGCCGACAATTCTGGCGTGCCCTCTTCACTTATTTCAATGGCCTCTTCAATTTCTTCTTCTATACTTTGATCGTCACTAGCCGTTGTTACTGAAGTGATGGCACTTGGATTACTGTTCTTACGAGATGTAGTGGTTGTCGTCTCAGGCACTTCATCGGTCGACGACGGTGTAGTCATCGTTGTTGTCGCCGTGGCTGTTGTTGTACTCTTTTCTAAATTGTCCATTTCTATGGATATCGAGCTAGTTGGCTCGTAGATCAGTGAAGATTCTGCCGTAGTATCTGTGTTGACGCAGTGAATGATCTCCTGGCGCAGTAGGTCCTCAGTATTTGTGCTACTGCTGCTATAGATGTCTGTACTGCATCCACGTTCAATTACATACGTGTGGCCGGAGTGATTATCGCATTCGTCGTCATCATCGTTTTCAATAAGGTTTGCGGCATTTACACTGTACGCATCAATTTCAAGTTGCGACAATATATCGGTAACATGTTGCACTTCAAGTTCTGTAGTGATAGGTTCATGTATCACGAAGTCTAATGTTGGTATTAGTTCTACGTTCTTCGTCGGTGGCTTTGGTGACTCAAATTGCAGAGATGTGTCTGCAGGCGTTACAGCACAATTAGTAGCCTCAGTTGTTGCATCAGTTGATGTTCCCGATGGTTTCGACTCTTTATTTTCAATCGGCTTCAAATGGCCGCGCGGTCGCAGCAGGGAAGTTATCTGTTCAAAATTAGCAAAAAGAGAATAAAATATTTAAAGCTCTGTTTTTAAAATTTGGAATTTTTAAATTTCTTAGATGCGTTTTCTATGTAAATAAAATTAAAGGTTAAGTACATGCAAATAAGAAGTTTAAGTCGTAAATCCATCTGGCAGATGTTGTTAATAGGTTTACGAAAAATAACTAAAAGTTTGGCGCTTACACTAAGTGTTTGGCCGAGCTACTCCACCAATTTGTAGCGTGCGGCTTGATGTTGTTATGCAATTGAAAGAACCTACAGTTTTACGCCGCATCCGAACGACAAATGATTTATATAAGAAGCTTTATCAAGGCATGTTCAGAGGCGACCGCACGATGGGATGAGAAGCAATACTAGCGCAGAAAAAGTCATTTTAAAATTGTCCTAAATTTTCTTTGTATTCTCTGAAATTGTTTTTGAGACTTGTATGAATAAGGCTATCTGTATACTTGTCGTCCAATCATAGTTGCGTTATCGTCTCGCCCTAAAACTTTGAGCCGACCACATGCATTTCAATGGAGGTCTGCACACTTCTCGTTATGGGCTTGTTATCGCAAATCGTAGAAGATGCAGAAACGGATGCCAATTAAAAGATAATTTAAATACCTTTTAAATAACGTATATACTTTAACCATTTTTAAAACAAAATTTTAAATGAACGCCATTTTGAAAAAATATATATACAATTTCGCATTTATATTTTTTATTATCCCTAACGGCCAATTTCACGAAAGCAATTTGAGGGAAAAACTATTTAAATTTTTTTTATTTTATATGAAAGGAAATAAAAAATCATTTTCCATTTAAATTGCTGGTGAAACCGGCTGTAAATTCCTAAAACTTAAAAGCAGGTCATAATAAAATATGTACATCGAATTAAAGATAACGACTTGTATCTTCTAAATAATATAAATTTCTTTAGCATTAGTTATGCATTTTTTCCAAAACAGATTATTTTATATAAAAATTTATATTTTTTAGTATTTTTGGCTTAAAAATGAAAAAAGCATATAAACTTTGTACATCAGCTGAAAGATAAATTAATTATATTTATTTTAACATCATTACTTTTTCAATTGGTTATGGAGATCATAAGATATTGATATTTCTTAAATATCGAAAAAATTTTACTTTAATCTATTATATCTTCTTTACTTAATTTTGGTATGGTTCAAATCAGCGTAGATAGTACTGTCGATCTACATTTTTGCTTTTTCCATAGCTAAACGGTTGATATTCTAGATTTATGCCGCCAAATGAATTGAATTATCACGTCCGAGTGTGCGAAAGTGTTATCGTCATGTAATCGTAGCAACTATGATTGGACGACCAATGAGCAGAAAGCCTAAGAGTACTTTCAATACCAGCAAGCAAGCTTATTACAGAAATTTTTCCTGCTGTCATTTTAATGCTGAATTTTACTGATTTGTATCATTATCCCTGCTGAACGATAATCAAACCCATATTTTTTTAACTAACAACATTGGTAGGGCATTAATGGACATTTATTTTTATTTTATTTTTTTTTTCAAATTTACAGTGTGTCGAAAATATTAATTTTTTCGCCAAATTATTTTATAAAAGCCCGTAAAAATATTACAACCAATAACATCTCTGAAAAAATTTTACTAGATATGGCCACGGCGATTTTATTTTTAATTTTTCGTGTTGCCGATCTTGAAAGATAGAATAATATTTAATCACTCGAAAGGACCATATCATTCTTAGGGCTAGCCTAGTTGTTGAGCAGTATGAAATAAATGTTTCGTTTCATACCGGTATTGTATGCACTTTTTCTAATAGTCGAAATGAAAATATGTAGCTCTCCTTAAAACAGGCTTTCTCAAAGTGGGTGCCGCGGCACCTTGCGGTGCCACTAGTGGCTAGAGTAAACTAGTGGCGCGGGCAAATTCTTTAAACTTTCCATACACAACGCAGGCGGTTTGATTAAACTTCAATATGGCGGCCAGAAAATCAAAAAATTTTGAGTTTTTTTTTAAATTACCTTCAGCGGCTCGTCAAACCCCATACACAACACAAATGGCTTGCAACAAGGGGATATTTCGCTTGGTTTGTCAAGCCGCTTGTGTGGTGTATTTCGCTCTTAAGCGTAGTTCCCTAGTTCGTTTTGTTAACGAAAAATTTAATCAGAAAATTTTAAGAAAGTAGCCGAAAACGTACCCTTTTCACAACCATTTTCGATACTTTTGTAGACCTAATCCGCGTTTCATCCACTTTTCTTCCCGTTTTCGGATTAATTTTTGAATTTATCGCTGGCTGGGCTATTCTCGTAACAAGCGCAGCAGCTTCGCGCTCGTGTATATGTTACAATTTAACGCTGACGACACATAATCAGTGTTGCCTTTAAATTTTCTCACACATATTGCTTGTCAAAAATCATCGAAATTGAAAGCCATTACGTAGGCTGCATTCATTTGAGAAACATATTATCAACATATCGCCTTCAAGAAAACAATGTAGCTTCTGAAGAACATTTTCCATTTTAATTCCGTTGTAGATTAACATTTTAACATGCATAAGCTTAGTATTTTTTTATTTTCACAAAATTCACATGCCAATGCTGAAAAGCTGATCAAAATTGAAAGCAAAATTGAAACTCAGTTGAAAGGGAAAAATTTAAAGCAAGTTGCCCATTCAAGCAATAAATAAGAGTGTGTTAGTGAAAAAGTGTGAGAGTATTGAAAATTGAAAGGGGAAAATTTAATGTGTAACGGCCCGGTAAATGGAAAATGATTTTCTATTTTCTGTCAATTTCCAATTAAAATTAAAAAAATTAAAATCATTTTTCACTTGAATTGCTTTCGTGAAATTGGTTGTAAAAGTTATTTTCTTAGCTAACGCGCATTACCAGCGTTAACTTGGAAGGTTTAGAAAAAACCATTGTCGAATATTTTCCCAACGGTGACTTTGAGGATATCTACAGCTGGATAACAAACCCGTTTTCATGCGACCCGAAAAGCAAACCTACTCAGATGACAAATTAAGCTTTTGGAAACCTTCTGGACATCAGTGAAGACAGCGAACTGAATATTAAATACTACGAAGGGAGCCAAGAGAGTTCTGGATGCAAGTTTATGCATAAAACACTGCCGTTGGCAAGATTGCATTCAAAATACTAGTGACTTTTACTTTTACATTTCTATGTGAGACTGCATACATAAGCAAGTAATTTTTAAGCAAAAAAACAAAACCGACCTCAATTCCCATATAAAAATTTTAGATTATCGTTAATCTCTTCACGATCCAATGATCGCAATTAAACCAAATTAGAATGGGACCACTTGTGAGGTAACCTTTCCTTTACTTTAAAAAATAATTATAGTAATCGGCTAACGTGGTCCAAAGTTATGCGGTGGCATACTTAAAAAAAAATAATAATAAAAAAATATTCCGACGAATTGATAACCTTCTCCTTTTTGGGAAGTCGGTTAAAAACAAATACACCAGCAAGCTTTAAGCGTCAAATGATTTCAGGGTAAAATTTTCAAAGCTCCCAATAAACTTAAAGGAATCATCAAAACAATTTCAGTCCTCACATTAAAGCTAAAGGAGCATAAAGTTTGCATTGTGTTTTCTTGTTTTCGTAGACATTTGAAGAGTAGGGGTGCCGCGAAATTTTTTAGCAGAACAAGGGTGCCGCGGTGATAAAAATTTGGGAACCCCCGCTTTAGACTATACTTTTTTCTATATGCCCATATTAAACATAGTTATAAAACATAATTGTTGTCTACAATATCCTCCAATTGCCATTGCTGTAAGTCGCTTTTGTATGTACATACATATGGGTTTTTGCAATTGCAAGCATCTGTGCTTACCAATAGTAGATTTCCATAAGAAAAATTACAAACCACAAATGAACAAGTAAAGACGTATAGGTTCGGGCGAAACCGAACTTTAGATACCCGGCGCACGTATTAAATATCGTTTTTTTTTCAGAAGAGCATTTTTCCCTATGTCAAACAGTTGCAATAATATGCTATGATATATTAAATAATTGGACCAAATTTGGTGGAAATCGGTAATGCGGTTATCGATATACACTTCTGTAGTCATAAGTGGGTGGTGTCAAGCCCATTTAACAAAAATCAATAATCTTGTGTCTTGTTAAGAGATTGTTGCAAGTTGACATCTTTAGTTATTGAAAGATCGGAGTTTTCCTATTTCTGAAATTTACTGTTACATGGTAAGTGGCGATAATTTTAGTCCGATTTCAAAAATTTCCAACATATTGCTTTTTTGCGCCAAGGTTGCTAAATGTGCCGAGTTTGGTAGAAGTTAATAAACCGGGTGCCGACATGCACATATGTAGGCGTAAATGGGCGATGCCACGCTCATTTTCAAAAAATTTCCCTAAAAATCAAAAAGAGGTCATTGCATATATTGATTTTGAGTAAATTAGCTTAAATAGTTACTAATTTATTGCAGTTTTCGTATTTCTGTAAATAACCGTTACATGGAAGGTGAGCGTTGTTCTTGTCTGATTTCAAAAAGTTTCAACGAGTTTCTTAGTGAGGCCCTAAGCAATGTTCTCACAGAGTTTGGTAGGCATTGGTAAATGGACTACAGAGATACAGCATTTAATAAGTGGGCGGGGCCATGGCCATTTTCCAAAAATTTTATAACTGTCTTATTTTATGGCAAAATTCTACTTCAAATACCAACTTTCAACAATTTGGATCCAGTATTTGCGGAAATATCTTTGTTTTTGCATATTTCGAAAATTCCGTTATATGGGAGCTGGGCGTGTTTATTGCCCGATTTCGCCTATTTTCAATCCCAACCTACCTTGGATAAAGCGCAACCAACTTACTAAATTTCGTTGACATATCTCAATTTTTGCTCGAGTTATCGTGTACACGGACAGACGGACAGACGGACGGACGGAAGGACAGACATGGTTTAATCGATTTCTCTTTTCATTCTGAGCATTTACGTATATATTTGTCTATATCTATCTCGATT